TACAGAAATTGTAGACTTATTGCTATACAAAATGTTTACTAGTGAATTTTTCTGATGGTAATAGAAAAGCCAATGTATGTAAACAAAAGCAATAACATTTGGTAAAAATTCTACAAAATATAAATCAATATACTCAAGACGTAGAGTGTAGATGCGGAAATTAAAAAAATATATAAACAATATTTATGTTTGTCTTACATTCAAAATACATAGTAAAATGTGGAAACAAAAAAAACAATTCTTTTAATGATTAAATTGTTATTGTTGCCCAGCAAAAACCTCGAGGAGGTCTGAGCATGTCTTGCCAAAAATCATTTTTTATTAACATCATATTGATAATTTTTTAATTTGCTGTAAGCCTTCTACTAAAAATTGAAAGTAACGCGGCCCATTCAGATGTACAGGTAGAAAATGCGGCCCAATTAAACGATCGCCATATACTCCTGTCCATACATTGACACCCAACCTCCTCTGAAAGCTAAACCGACGAGTAGTGTGCGGGTTTTCATCTGACCAAATGTGACTATTATGGCTGCAAAGAAATTAGCTCTGTTTCACTTTAAATAAAATTTAATATTGAAATTACAAAACCCCAAGAGTTCAAATAATTTAAATTTTATTTCATAACCATTTCAATTTCGTTACAGAAATAATGTCATAAAAAACCAAACTCACTAGATAAATTATAAAGAGAGGGTGAAATGTATGTAGTATTTAAATATTGACTGTAAGTAATAGAAGATAAAAATACAATCGGACGGAGACAAATAAACAACTCGGTACGTATTTCCGACCTAGGTTAACCTGTGTCGAGGTCAATAACCTTCTAATTTGCACGTGTGCACTTTAGTGTCGTCGCAAAAAGTTGTCGGTGTTTTATCAAAGGAAAATCGTGTCATCAATGAATAGGGATGATTGTTTTCGAATGTACGGTTATTACAATTTATCATTTTTAATATTATTAACGTCTTCACGTTTTATAATTTATTATGTTAAATACAGTTTTACAACACAGTTTTAGTATTTCAGTTTATTATTCAATATGCAGTTGCGTATAACCAAAGTTTACATAATAAATATAAACTTTAGTGTAAATCTAAACTTTGGTGTAACCCAGGTATTGTTTTTGAGAAGGCAATACTTATATTTTTTACCTGTTTAAAATGCCAGCACGAGTAAAATATCATTCCTCCGTCCAGATCACTTTGTTAATAAAGTTCTGCTGCACTTCGATTCAGGAACCAATTGCAAAATTCAAGACGATTGGGGAAATCAGCTGCTTCTAAAGCTTCAACTTTTTGAAAATGTGTTACTTTAACTCCTTTGCGGGAAAAATGCGGGAGGGTGGTAGATTTGAATAAACGCTTTAAATTGTTAATAGTTTTGTAACCGTGTGTAGTGTATTTTGTATATTCGGGTATTTAGTGTGCCGACTCTTTTTATTTGATAAAATACAGTGTGCCTACAAACCTCTGCTTTATTTATTTTCTTTTAACGAAAGTTGACTTCGAGAAGTCAGGCTTGTTAAAACATTTTGCACTAAGTTAATACAATTATTAAAATTAGTTATAATAAAATGCAGCATGATCCTTTATTTACTTGCATTTTATTGGTTTCGTACATATGTATCCGTATACTAAAGCGGATTAATTAAATGTGAACCACAGATTATGATGTGAACTTGGCAACGCTGTTCGCTTCAGCTGACGATTTGTTCGTGACATTACGTTACAAAATTTTCCGAGCATCCGGGCATCTGGCAGGGCCGCCCTCTTAGCGGGAGTTATGGGTTGATTTCCTTCATTTTTAAAAGTCGAGTAAAAATTTTTTTTTCCGATTTTCTGTCTTTATTAAGTCTTCCGAATGCGTAATTAAAATTAATGAAATTATGACTGAATCACCCTGTATACGGAAAATTCCACTGTAGGGGTATAGCATTTGAAATAATTGTAAAAAGAGTTTGGAAGTTACTGCAGGACCATACCTACGTATATCTATTTTGACGTGCTGAAACCAAATCCAAATTTTTATGCCGTGCAAAATAATCCTAAAATCTGGGAAATTCCTTCCTAGAGATAGAACTTCAGCCATTTGATTCCCGCAAATAGAGACGAGGGTATTCAAAGATGTGAACATAGTTTCCAGATAAGAAATGATGTTTCTTTTACTCCTTTTTCCTTTTGTAATGAACTCCTTTATCTTCAAATGATCCGTGTTTTTGGCTTATTTATCCTTTTAAGCATCCCACAGAAATCTTCTTTCATATTAATATCTGACCTTCCTTGATACAGACGCTCCATTTCCTCGATGTCATGGTGAAATCATTAGTTAAGATGAGTGGCTAGTGAATGCAATTTCAAGTTTCAAGGCAACTGTTGTTGAGAAATTGTTGGAAAACTTTTTCAACAATTCCTCAACTAGCAATCTCCGATAATCCTCGCTCTTCTGATTGCCCAAGAAATTAGGGGTGACTCTTGAAACTTAGCCACGCTGCTCTTTCAGTATAATTCATTTTTGTGATAAATTTTTCGTCTATGACCACGGTATGGATTTGAAAACCATCGAAAATACCTTCTCTCAGTTTAACATCACTTATTTCCGGAATCTTCTCTCCTAAGTATTCAAATCAGTCACCTCTTTGTCCAAAGCTTTAACTAACAATTTCATGAAACCAAGTTTTATATGGAGTGGTGTAAGCAGAATATTTGAAGAATCAACTAAGGGTTTGCGGGTGATGGACTTACCCTATATGGAAATCGGTTCTTTTTGACCATACCTTTTGTTTATAGTGATTCTTTTTGTCTCCAATATCCCATAGATATAAGAAACGGATGAAAGAGATGAAAGTTGGCCTTCCTCTTGTTTTAAAAAATATAATTTTACATATTTTCTGTATTTGATGAGCAATTTTGGATTCGAATTCACTTTTCTTTTTTGTGGAACTGTTTTTTTACGGATTTGTTATGATTAGTTCGTATCTAAGTTTGTATTTCTAGGGAAAAAAAATCCAATTAAAAATGAGCTTTCTCTGCTGACCATTGTGGTAATTTCAATACCGTGAAATTCCTTGTAACTTCCATGGAACTATGCCCTTTGTCTATACATCTTCCGTATATCTAAATCGCCATCGTTCTATATTTAGACTAGACCTCTAGCAGTTGTGACTCGACGTGTATTCGATTAAAACCCCACGTTCCACGCAATCGATAGCAGTACAAAACACCTAGTCAGGTGGCAGACGTCCATCAAACGGTTCAGCGCCACAATACTACAACTTCCCCGACCTTTCTGTACCCCAATTACCAACGGTGCCAACTCCGGCGTGGGTGTAACCTCCGCGACGCCGTTCATTGATCCTGCATCCTGCCGTAGTCCTTATCGGAGCAGTAGGATCAACATGGCCGCGGACGGCGTGCACCCCTTCGACATATCGTCCGGCGGTGAAGTCGGTCGTCTTTTATTTTAATGCCGTTATTGCCCCCATGGCAGGCCACTTGATCTTAGTGCGATTTGCGCAAGTCTAGCGTGCCACGGTGATACGTGATTGTTTGTTTGCAGTGCACATATGCTGATTAGGACCACTCCAGGGTTATCAATTAATTAGCCCGACGCCTACCTCGCCGACTAGATAAGGTTCGTAGAGAATTTTAATTGGAAACGCCGTTTCTTGCACTTTTGTTTCGATATTTTTTGTTGGGCGCCTCGGATTTTGGACGAGGCGGCACTACGAGGGGTATTTCATAATTTCCGAACAAGTTGGCTGTGTCAACGTGACTGTCAATAGGCTATTCCATAATATTTAATTTGCGACTTGTTTTTAACTGGGATCAATTATTTTTAATTCAAAAAATATTTTATACGGATGCCCTTAATCTTTGCAGAGCATTTGTGACGTCACATCACTCGATCCGACGGCTCTATGCTCTATTATTTATTATCTCAAGTTATTTATTTGTAGTATAGTTCAAGCTTTCCCCTGTTTATTAATATACTTATGTCCACTTGAGAATTTTACAATTAATTAAAGAAATCTTTGTGCCGGAAGAATCAGTTAAGGGATATTTTTATTAAACTATTTCTGCCTAACCATTTTTGAGTTTTTAAGAGAAAACTAAATTTTTACCAACTTTGGCGCCATCTAACGGCTAAACTAAGCATCTTGTTAATGGGTAAATTGTTTTAAAATACCTTATCTTTTTCTGAAAATAAAAATTTATCCTTTTATTTAATTGTCTCTAAAAATCCCGGTCCGATACGTCCAATAGTTAATTAACAATTAACGTTATAAAAAAAGCTATCTTGAGAACAAAGAGCCGTAGCTGATTTCTCTCTCTTTTAAAATTACTGTAAAAATAAGCTCCATTTAATGCAGAAAGAGCGAATTCCCGAGCGGCTTTCGCCTGACCCTGGGACAATTGGTTTATAACGCTGTTTTGACCCTTTCTTGAATATTTTATTTTAGGTCATTAAATACGAATTGGAACCAGATGCTAATGTATGAACTGTTCGATTTAGAGATGACCAAAACTATGTACAGGATGGCCTATTTTAGATGAGATACAGACTAAATAGAAAAAAACTAATAAAAGAATTCCCTTTCCAACTTATTTTGGTACAAACAAATCATGATTAACACGATTAATTTCCGATTATTTTAAAAGGATGTTAATGATCCTGATTTTTTTAGATGACTTCTATTGACTGTTATTATTATAATAAATATCAAAAAATATTTTTAACTTTTTCTATACTTACGGCTCATTACCATTATTTTTTGGGTTGTTATGCCATGTCCCTGGTCGTCAGCGGCTACAGACGTACTCTGGATGTTCTTAAATAGAAATATTTGACCTGCTCTTGTTGTTCTCGGGCTAGGCTCTGTCGGGGCAGACCCGCTATCAGAACCCCTAGACCCGTCCTGTTTTTGATTTGGGTTCTTGTTGTTGATTCTGAATCGGTTTTTATAAGATATGACATCTTTGTTTCAGGGAGGGAGTATTATGGCAACAGATGACAGCATGGACGACGACGTATTTGAAACACAAGACGAGGGTGGTCATTTGAGGGTAGCATCGAAACCAACGGAACCAAAGAGTAACACGCCTTCACCTACGGGTTACAGAAATTATCAACCACCAGCAGAGGTTCTAAAATTGTGTCAGACTGATATTATAGATGACGTTGAACCAACAATACACAAGGTTAGTAAAATGGTTTCTTTTGTTGTTTTGATTTAAGTTACTTTGTCACATAGAGGGTGTAAATTTAAATGGGAGTCATAGTCCATCCAGTTACTGAAGCATTTTGGCTACCAATTTCTACCAATTTTTTCGGATGGAATGGATTGACGTGAAATTTGAACTGTAGCTAGGGAATAGCCCAAGAAACAAAAGTTATATAGTGCAGATGTGTGCTTTTACCCTAAGGGTACGATTCGATAGAGGGACGAATTCTAAGCAAAAAATGTTCTATAAGAATTTTTTGTACAGTCCATACTTTTTGAGTTATTTGCGCCTAAACGTGTTCGTTTTTAGCCCAAAAAATGCATGTTTTTGAGACATATTTCGCGAATATCTCAAAAACTACAAGTTTTATCAAAAAATTGTTTATAAGCAAAAATGAAGCTAATTAAATAGCAAAGAGATTGCTTTTTTTATTTTTGTAGATGGTATAGAACCCGAGTTATGACTCCCAGAAGTTGAAGTAAATTTCGAAGATAGCTATAATCGAAACGTTCAACGTCCTGTAGCGGAAAAATTAAAGGTTTTTCGAAGAAAACTTATATAACACCTATTAAAGTTCTTGAAAAGACCTTTAAATTGAGTGCGTGGTAAATGTCGTTAGCATGAAAACTAATGAAGTTAAAATCAAAATAAAATGATTGACGTGATTTTTGAAAAAAGAAATTGGTATTAAAATTAATGACTTGACGGAGAAAAAATTAAACGTATTCCTTTTGCAATTTACTTTATTTATGTATTAATAGTATTCCCAGATTCTGGGAATTTGAACGATTTTTTAAAAAATCGCCTTTTTTCAAAATATTTCAAAAACTGACAGTTACAAAAAAATGATAAAATAAGAAATTGTAGGTTTTTTATGAAAATATGAAAGGAACTTTATCCAACATATTTGAACATGAATTGAATCTTTAAAATACGTAAATCTGCGACTTTCGCATTTTTTTTCGTACAAGGGTAGTTTTCACCCCCAAATAGAAAAAAGCACAGACAATATAACGGAAAAACGGAAAAAAAAACAAAAATTTAATTTTTACTTCAATCGTGAATAACTTTTGAAGGAGTAAATTTATGCAAAAATGTTAAGAGACCTTTTTTGTAGAGCATTAAATTTCCTTTGAAAATCTGTATTGTTCTTTTTCAGATATTAATTTGTTCATTATTTACAAAATTCCAAAGTTAAAAAGTCAAAACGAAAAAATATCAAGGCTTGATTGCATGGAAACGGCTCGTCTGCCAAAAATTTTCAATCAGACCTCTTTTGTAGGGCATTCAATTTCCTTAAAAAATATATGTAGATAAATTTTCTTACCTCGATGGTTTGGCAGTTTTGACGCAAAAATGGGATCAGGAATAAAAAATCGAAACTAGCGATGATAAGACTTAAAACTAATATTAAGGACTCAAACTCTTACGATATTTCTTTTTCGTCATTCTGAATGATATTCTCGATATATCTTTCAAAAAAAAATAGTCGATTTTTTTGGCCCAGCCTAATGAACATATTCACGAACTCGCATCCATAATGTTGAGTTCGATTTAATTCAAAGCGACCTATTTCTGACAGCCAGAATAAGAAAGGCAAGACGAAGCTAACGTAGGTACCCCTTTTCGTTTAACAATCTAATTAAATGCAGTTCTCGTTCAAGATGAAGCAATTTCAGCTCAGATAATATGACCCAGTTGAAGGATTCAATTAGAGCGTAACACGAATATTGCTAGAACCTTTAATTGCGCTTCAAATTACATCTATCCAATTTCAGAAAGATAGGCCATATGTACTAGGAGAAATAGTAGCCGTTTGATACAAAAATTTTTAACTAAATTCTGTGTTCTTCTGTGTGTGAATTATCAGCCAGATTTTAAGAAACGAAGGTTATACAAGGTGTGGCTACATTGTTTGGCCACACTTTAGTTACAGATCCTATAACACAAATCGATAAAAAAAGATCATATATGTGTCTCCAAACGTTTTGTTATCGAGGTTCAGATTACGCAAATTTAATTGAAAGTCGTGGTTTATTTCAAGTTGCAAATAACATTTTAGGATAGTAATCTAAATAATGTTTTATTTCGTTCATAAATGTGATTACTATAAATACTACACAAGCACACAAAAAGATGTTTCCATCGATGAGAATCATGCCAATCAAGTCGTCGTTATCGTCGTTTAGTTTAGTTTTAATTTAGTTTTAATAACCATTGGGGTTGAAAAGCTTGAACACGCGGTGTATGAAACGGACAGCTATGTTCGTTAATGTTACCGATATATTGTTAAAAAATAAATGTAGTAAAATGGACATTTATTAGTCAATAACAAGCGAGACAATTCAATAATTATACTTTGTCACTATTTTCCCCCTTAACTTGAAAAATATCGATCCCACGATAAAATTTGTAATAAATTAAGTTGTAGGAAATCGCATTTGCAACAACTTAAGTCCTTACCATTTTTGTTGTAAAGTTGAAAATGGCCGAGATAATGATCAAAAACAATTCCTTTGAAACCAACTCCCACAAGGTCTTACGCTCGCGTCTTTACCGCAAGCGTAGGACCTTAAATATTGGTTATAGCGAAAAAATCAAAGGGATCAAAATTGTACAAAATATAATTCTTTCCAACTTTGTTTATGTACATTTATGTCGTAAAGTCAATAACAAACGAGACAATTCAATAATTATACTTTGTCACTATTTTCCCCCTTAACTTGAAAAATATCGATCCCACGATAAAATTTGTAAGAAAAGAAGTTGTAGAAAATCGTATTTGCAGCAACTTAAGTCCATACCATTTTTGTTTTAAAGTTGAAAATGGCCAAGATATTGAGCAAAAACTATTTTTCCTTAAATTCAAGATGGCGGCTGATGCAGGGGTGAAATTCAGTGGCGATTCTGAATTTACACTACTATTGACCCCCCCTAAAGGTTAGAACAATAAAATTGTGGTCCCTAATTTTTCCTGGTTAAATGACAACTCGACTGGGCTATACATTCATTTCGTTAAATTACTTTTTCTGACATTGACATCTTGAAATTTTTTTTAGTTACTTTTATTTATTATTAAAACGAAATTCTATGAAAGTGTTGGATAAAATTTTGTACGGCACTCGTGTGTTGCGTCGTATAAGTCACTTGGAAAAATTAGCCCTGTCGGCCTACGGCCTCGACATTTCCCAGCGTGACATACAATGTACCGTAACCACGCTAATACCATAAATAACTATTTTTCGTTTCAATCGTTTCATGCATTTTTATCAACCCTAAACTATTTATGCTTCTTTATTCTCTGTAAAAAACTAATAATAAAGTTAAATCATATCCATATCCTCCACTTTGTATAATTTTCAAAATAAATATAATTTGGGACCCTTTTTCTATTATAAATTTGAGAGTAGTCAAAAGGTACTTTCAAAGTTCGATATCTCGAAAACGGTTAATAGGCTATTGATTATATCCAAAGAAACAGGGTTAAACCCTATGACATTCAAGCAATTTTATTGTATGAATCGTTCAAAGGGTCATTTTAAATGGAAAAACCGCGGAGTGCTATTAAATTAGAGGGTGGAAATTAGAGATAGGGGTGAAAATGCACCCCTTTCAGTTTTTTAATTGTAGCTCGAAAACGAAGCAAAGTTTCTCTATAGTTCATAGGAAAAATTTTGTAGAGAATTCAATTTCCCATAGAAATGGCTTATTTAAAATATTTAAAATGAAAATTTTATGCAAAAAATCGTTAATAAACAATTTGAAAAAAAGCAAAACAACTCGTTTTTTTATTTTTTTTTTGCCTTTTGGACCGGAAGTTTGGTTGAAGAAAAAAAAGGAAAAGCAATGCCTCAAAAAAAAAAGTAGATAAAATTTCCTTCAAAATAACAGGTTGTAAAGTATTTTTGGATGAAAATTGACTGATATATTAAGGCCGCTCAAACGTAGCCAATTTTTTTGCAAAAAAAGAAGGAAATAAGACGTTGAAGGATTTTAATCACATGACTTGTTTGAAGGGTCACAAAAAATGAAAAAACCGCGGGGTGCTATTAAATTAGAGGGTTGAAATTGAAGATAAGGGTGAAAATGCACACCTTTAATTTTTTTAATTGTAGCTCGAAAACGAAGCAAAATTTCGGTATAGTTCATAGGAAAAATTTTGTAGAGAATAGAATTTCCGATAAAAATAATGGCTTATTTAAAAAAATTAAAAGAAAAATTTTATGCAAAAATCGTTAATAAACAATATTTAAAAAAAGCAAAAAATATGTTTTTTAAATTTATTTCATTTACTTTTTTTGACTCTAATTTTTTTTTTAGTAGAAGACAAAGAAAATTGCTGTACACAAAAACTAGATGAGATTCCCTTCAAAATGATGCGTTTTGAAAAGTTTTTGGACTAATATTGACTGAGTTATAATCGGTCAAACTTAAATATTTTTATATTTTTGTCATTTTTAACATAATAATGATTACAATTCTGTTTGAGCGGCCATATATCAGTCAATTTTCATCCAAAAATACTTTACAACCTCTTATTTTGAAGGAAATTGTATATACTTTTTTTATGAAGCAATGCATGTACCTATCTTTACTCAAAAAAAAACTACAGGCAAAAAAGCAAAAAAAAAAACGAGTTTTTTTGCTTTTTTCAAATTGTTTATTAACGTTTTTTTTGCATAAAACGAACGATGTTCATACGATTTTTTTTCTTAGTTTCTGAAGTAGGTACTCGTACTTTAACACCCTTCATGTCAAAAGCACTTAAAACATTTTAACCGCTATGTCGCAACTAATTTGGAATCTACAAACCAAACTGAATATTGTCCTTATTTTACGGACCAATTCCAGCTATTCCCATCCAGATATTACATGTTCATAACCTCAAATATCTGCAAATTAATGCTCATCCCAAGCGACATCCACTTCGCTTTTGAAGTTGACTAATAACCAGAACCAAATACATTCCTCACCCGGAATGATTTATTCCCAGCCACGAACGGCACTAATTGTGTTTCTGTTCTCTCATTTTCTCTCCGTTCCGTTCCAGACAATCCTTCTGGGGGACAGTGGCGTAGGGAAGACCTCTCTGCTAGTAAAATTCGATACCGGAAAGTTCCAGTCCGGAAACTTCTCGGCCACCGTTGGAATTGGGTTCACGGTAAGTTTGCTGTCGTATTTTATTAAGGAGAATAGGCGGTGCACAACATACTGTTGCGGAATTGAAGGAACACGGTTTTTTATAGTAGCGCTTCTTTTGGTGACACATTATCGATCCGAGCCAATGGCATTTAAAAGTATTGAAAGATGATTTATAGTCCATTTAACAGGATCTCAATAAGAGGACAAAAAAAGTTATAAAAATATATTTTATCTATGCTATGCTATGGACAACGAGGGGTAAGTGAGATAACTTACCTCCCTAGGAAAAAAAGCGATTTCGAGTTATAAATAGAAATACTTGATGAATATTACATTTTTTAAATTATTATGAATGAATATTTAAGTAATTGTACAGTTATTACGTTTATAAACATTTATAAAACCTGGATAATTATTCCCCTCGCGTTTACTAATTGTCTCATTTTTTTCAAAATGATCTGATCGCTCCATTTCAGTCACCGGAGGCTCAATATGATCAGACTGATTCCATAAAACAACATAATGCGACGTACTACTAGAACCTGGAGTTGAAGTGTAATTGTAAAGAATCCTATTAGACCAGTTCTTAAGCCTTCAAAAATGGTAAAAAGTGAAAAAAAATTATAGTAGGATGAAACCCATTGGAAAGGGAAGAGAATATAACAGAAATGAAAAGAAAAATAATTTACGGGCGATCTGAGGTCGGGAAGGGGATGGGGGTGAGTTTTTAAGGGTAAAAAACCGTTTATCTTGATTTCCGGAAAAACTACAAGTCTTATGGAAAAAAGTTAAATAGCAAAGTTGTAGGTAATAAAAAGATCTACAACTTTTGTAGTTACACTTTTTTCACCTAACCTCAAAATTTATGTGAAAAATTCAAATAACCAAGTTTTTGGTTTTTTATTTTTATCTTTTACAAACAAATTTTTTTTTCACGAAATTTGGTGAAAACTTACCTATTTATGTCCCAAACACGCTGTAATTTTTTTGATTTGAAATATTTATTTTTTCACCTTATTTTTACTTAATATCGAAAAAGCACCCTAATTTTCAATCGAAAATTCTCACGTCAAAATATCTGCTTTTTTAAAAACGTCGGTGGGCTTTTTCTTCGTTGAAATCTCTACTTTCTGATGGTGTAAAAAAAAATATACATTACTATGGTAAGTTTTCTCAGGAAATGCAAAGAAACGAAAGAAGATTCTACAACTTTCTCAAAATATTGTAGATGTCTTATTAAATATTAACTTTATTAACTTATTTGGTTGTTAATTATAATAGTATATTTCGACTTGTAATTTTTTTGTTTATCAATGTAACATGGAATCTTACGTTTTTCGAGTAATTAAAGTGTAAATTTTAATAAATAGCTCAAAATTGTACATAATGATTAGAAAAAAATTTTCGGATTCTAGTTCGTTTCTTTGCATTTCCTGAGAAAACTTACCATAGTAATGTATATATTTTTTTACACCATCAGAAAGTAGAGATTTCAACGAAGAAAAAGCCCACCGACGTTTTTAAAAAAGCAGATATTTTGACGTGAGAATTTTCGATTGAAAATTAGGGTGCTTTTTCGATATTAAGTAAAAATAAGGTGAAAAAATAAATATTTCAAATCAAAAAAATTACAGCGTGTTTGGGACATAAATAGGTAAGTTTTCACCAAATTTCGTGAAAAAAAAATTTTTTTGTAAAAGATAAAAATAAAAAACCAAAAACTTGGTTATTTGAATTTTTCACATAAATTTTGAGGTTATGTGAAAAAAGTGTAAATACAAAAGTTGTAGATCTTTTTATTACCTACAACTTTGCCATTTAACTTTTTTCCATAAGACTTGTAGTTTTTCTGGAAATCAAGGGAAACCGTTTTTACCCTTAAAAACTCACCCCCACCCCCTTCCCGACCTCAGATCGCCCGTAAATTATTTTTCCTTTCATTTCTGTTATATTCTATTTCTTTTCCAATGGGTTTCATCCTACTATAATTTTTTTTGGTTTCAAAAATTATCGACCCTGGTCTATGTTGGCTATTTCATTTTTGGTACTTAAACTGTCAGCGTCATAACTTTCTGCAATTGTGGCTGATTTCCACCCACCATGTCTCTTGATTGCTAATACATCAACTCCTGTATTAGCCAGTAACGTTGCCGAATAAGAGAGAGGATGGGAGAATTCTAAATTATAGGTAGAAATAGGTACGGTGAATTAATTTTTTTTTAGAAATATTTTTAATAAAACCTTTTTAGTACATAAAAAAGCAGAAATAACTAAAAAAATAGAGAAATTCAACGAAAATTAGATAGATTCCAATAGATAAAAATTAATTTTTTTTTAATTTAAAATTCCAGAGCTAAATTTTTAAAATATGGAAATGTATTACTTTTTAACATAAAATTTTATATTTTTAATTTCTTATGTCAACAAATATTTATACTAATTTATTACAATTGATTTTTTAAAAATAAAGTAGTGTATTAATTTTCAAAATTAAAGTTTAAGTAAATAAAATATTTTATTAAAAATTTCTAATATATTTTCTTAGCTTAAGAAAATTTTTGTACCCTTTTCGAATTTCTAGACGCCTAAAAGTGCGATTTCTTATCTATCTAAAACGTTAATAAGATATAGTATCACTTTTGACAGACATGACAGACAGACATGGTGACAGACATGACAGAATTGATTTAAAAGTATCAGAAGCGAGAAAGAAAAAAAGTATAGGAGGGGCAGCGATTTCATGCCTCGATTAAAGTATACACTTTTCCGACTTTCTCTTTATTAAAAAACATAATAAAAAGTTCAACACGCCAACGGGCTGAAGCATTATGAATTTTCATTTCGCATCTACGTATTTATCCACGCAAAATATTGCAAAGCCCTTAGGGGTTCGGTTTTGTTATTGTTTTCTTTCATTTCCATTTTTCGTAGCTTGGAGATGTTGATTAGTGCTGCTCACGTGTCTCTCTGACGGACTTAAACGTGTTTTTTAAACCCTGTTCTTTATAAAAGAGATTTTAAATTGAAATTCATTTCCATGTTAAAAATAAAAAATTTGTAATAATAAATGCGAAAAACGAGCGATAATGAGTCATATTATGATTATTGACAAGAAAATCTAGAAATAGCAGTTCGTGATCTAGAAATAGGGAGGTCAATTTTAAACAGTTAATACACCTGTCGAATGATTTATACAGGGTGGCCAAATGAAAACGAAACAGAGCCATTTTCAGGAACTGCGTCAAGATGGTAGAAAAACGCTCAGACCCGTCGATTTTAGATTAAAGGGGGACATTCTTTGCTGGTATTTTTGACTCCGCCACTTTCACCCCCAAGCAAGGGTAAGCATCACCCCAAAATATTTAAATGGCATTGGGGGTTGAGTAATATTTCTTTTGAAAGCTCTTACAATTCTCTTTACAACAGACTTTAAATTTTATAATTTCGCCTAATACTTTGAAAAAAAATAACATTTTAAAATTTAAATTATGTTTAGTTGTTTACTTACTACTTAGTTGATTAAATGTTCAAACTGATGACCGTCCACTTCCATACAAGAATAAAGATTTTGTTCGAAATGTTCGCGCACATTCCGAAGCATTTCCGGAGTGATTCGACGGCATTCGTCGACGATTCTTTGACGCAAATCTTCCAGCGACGGTGGCTGTGTTTTATAGATTTTACTTTTTAAGCATCCCCACATAAAGAAATCAAAGGGCGATAAATCCGGTGATCGTGGGGGCCACTCAATACTGCCTCTTCTCCCAATTCAATTCCGTAGAAAACGTTGGTCCAAATACTGACGGACAATTAACGCATAATGCGCAGGAGCACCGTCCTCTTGAAAAATCAAATGAATTTCATCATACTCTGGAACATTTTCAATAATATCAGTCAAGGCAGGGTCAATAGCATCTTTCAGTAATTGCAAATACATTTGGCCAGTCAAATTACCAGCTAAAAAAGGACCCACCAGCCGGTCACCGAAATTTCCAGCCCATACTTTAATTTTCCGGTTGCTGTGTATGCACCTCGTGAAAACTCTTGGGTTTGAATCGGACCAATAGCGGCAACTGTGACGATTTACCGTCCCGTTTAAGAAAAAACTTCATTAATCAGAAAAACAGATTTTAAAAAGGAACTGTGGATCGTTAACTGCTCGCTCACTCGTTATTTCGCAAAATTGCAAACAGCGGTCATAATCAGCCTCATGAAGTTCCTGGACTAAATGTATTTTTTATGGATGGAATTTATTCTTCTTCAAAATGGTTTGTACGCTAGTTCGATTGATCCCAGACACAAATGCTAGCTGCCTCGTACTTAATGTAGAATCAAGATGAACTTGTCCCAAAACTGCATCTTCACTAGCTTCATTAACTAATTATAGGTTTTTCAATTTTTCGTTTTTTATTGGCTACGTTCCCTGTCTCTTGAAATTTTTTTACTAACTCTAGAACATACTTCNGTTTCAAGAAAATTTATAAAACTGTTTTATTTAACGTTTCCAAAGATGACAGTTATAGGGGGAGACAAAGAGAAACACTGTTTAGATGTATGTTCCTACGAATTTCAACCCTTTTCACAGAAATCTCAAAGGAGTTTGCACAGCAAGACACAATTTTATTACAAGTATAACAATTTATGAAGAAAATCTAATAAACTCGAATATATACCTTAAGAAAAAAACGTAGTTGCTTCCAGGGAAAGGACCTGGAAAACACGCTTTTAACTTCCCTTAATAAAAATTAGATTGCCAGTTTATCAAATAACAAAATGTCTCTTAAGGGCACGTGATTTTTCTTGCGAAAAATAAAACACAGCCGCGGGTTGTTGTACGTCTTGGCGCAGAACATTTTAGAGCCCTTGAATTTCGTTATTGTTTTTCATTATCTCGGTCTTCGCGCTCGTCCTGAGCTGTTAAACAGGGTCGTATTTACTCCAAGTGGAATGAAGAGCAAGGTGCACCTTATTACTAAGATGCAACGTTTAAAAACTTTGCTAGTTGTTATAAAAGCATGG